AAATTTCCTACGCTTATGTGAAAACAAACTAAAGCAAAAGTCCAGTCGTATCTGTCAAATAAAAGTTTGTAAAAACCACCTACTAATTTCTAATCATCCTATCGTCTACGTAAGTGTCACTGTTTCGTATCATCAGATGTAGGATACTCACTGAATCGACATTTGTAAGGGGCAGTAACAAAAAACAACTGATGAATGATAACGGCACTAAAACTTAGGATATTATATATTGCTGTCATGCTAAAATAAAGATTTTTCCAGCAGGTCGCCTTTGCTATTTCCTTTATGTTTTCCTAAAATAACTAATTAAATTGAAGATATACTTATCGGTGAAACCGCCAATAAAAGTTCTTTTTCCCAAATTTTTTTCTGAATTCTAAATCCAAACAATTAAAGATTTTTTGCCATCTTACGGATTTGTTTTACCACTTTCTACTAACCGCAACGCTGTCTAAAAGCGATTTGTGACAGCAAAAAAAAAGATTCATGCAACTCTTGTATAATTTTCTACTTTTTTTGAGTAAAATCCACTGTAAACAACTATACAAAGAAAACAATAAGAAGTTTTTTGACTGAACAGCACCAACAAATCTCTCCATGTCAATTAGCAAGCTTTCTTTCTATACATTTTACAGTTTCAGTATTTATTCCATTACAAAACAGAAAACATCTATTCAACGAGACCATTTTGAACCTTTTATCAAAACAAAATTTCATTAACCAAAAGTAAATTTATACTTCAAAGCGCAAATTTCTGGTACCAAATTTTTAAGCGATTGTCATATTTTTTAGCGGTAACTGCTTTGTCCAACGGGAATAAAAACACACTTTTTGATGCTTGTATATTTGCCATTTCAACCAAGCTCAACAGTATCACACTAAAACGAGTCGAAAAAATGGAACTAACATTTCCCATAAGCGAATGCACGCCAAAGATCAAACCTGCGCTCTGCTAAAACGCTTAATTGACCGTAACTGTAATTATTACAGAAACTTTACCACTGTTATCCTGAAGCACAATCAGGCAATTGCTTCAAGAAGAGATTGTTTGTAAAAAAAAA